GTGGAGAAGTGAGGTGTGGAGAAGTGAGGTGTGGAGAAGTGAGGTGTGGAGAAATGAGGTGTGGAGAAGTGAGGTGTGGAGAAGTGAGGTGTGGAGAAGTGAGGTGTGGAGAATTGAGGTGTGGAGAAGTAAGGTGTGGAGAAGTGAGGTGTAGAGAATTGAGGTGTGGAGAAGTAAGATTAAGTGAGACGAGGTGAGATGAGTAGATATAAGGTGAGATGAGATGAGATAAATTGAGATGGGGTGCGATGATATAAGATGATGTGAGGTGAGGTAAGATGAGATGAGATGAGGTAAAGTGAGCTGAGGTGAGGTGAGGTGAAGTGAGGTAAGATTAGGTGAATTTGGATGAGGTTAAGTGAGGTAAGGTGAGGTGAGTTGAGTTAAATAGAGGTATGATGTGGTGAGGTGAGTTGAGTTAAATAGAGGTATGATGTGGTGAGGTGAGCTGATTTGAGGTGAGGTGAGTTGAGGTGAGATGAGTTTTGTCTGAAAATCGGCCTGCGCTTCTCAATTTTCTAAATCTGTGTTTATATTTTGCGTATAATTTCTTAAACATTTTAGTGATTGTCATGCAGTAAGTTCCTTTAGGTTTAACTTTCAAGCAGTAGAATGGTAAATTCAAGAAAAGTGGGCCATTCAATACGACCTCGCAGTTTTGACTTACCACATCTTTTATCGAAAGAGAAGTGTTAAATACCTTCATTTTCCGAGAGTCAAATTAGTTTTTTTGCGGTTCATTTTAATACAGAATAGGAGGGAATTTAAGCTAGAGGCACTCCAGCCTCCTAATATTTTCATTCCAGACAAGTGTAGTTTGATATTATGTTTTACATACTACAATAGCTTTCTATACAGTTACGAGGATTTACACAGATCAAGGGTGACTTTAGGGGAAATGGGGGAAAATAGGCCACTTCCCGTCATCTGGATCTGGATGAAACCATCACCAATCGATTTGTTGAATAGGAAAAGAGGATTTTTTTATTAACGGAACAAGGGTTTCGGAACTTTATTAAATGTTGACCACAGGTAGATTTTACGGTTCTATGAACGAAAAATAAATCATAAAATTAAGGGTGGTAAATTTTCCCGGAAATGATTAGTTGAAGTTAATGGACTTTCCTGTTCATCATGAACTATCAAAACTCATGAACTAAGCTCCGAAGAAAGAACATCGTGTAGTAAAATTATAAGGAAATTACATCAGCAATTCATAAGAAATATAATCTGAAAAAAAATGTTTCCGCGAACATTTTCACAGAGGATCTAAATCGAAAGGACAATCAGGAAACATCATTGTCAGGGTATTGACAATTTTTCTAATGATTTTTCCATGCCACAATACTTCAACAATGCTGTTCTCATTGGTGAATATTTCAGAGTGATGTCTCTTACCGGTTTTGAGTTATGACCAAAACACTAACGATCCAGAAAATTTTGGTTCAACTTCTCTGAGTTTTCCGAAGTTCACATACTTTGAAAAATCATTACTCATGCACCAAGTATCGTAGAATTTTTTTTAGTGATTTGATAATATAATTATCTCAGCATCCATTATTATCCATGAAAAATATATTCTAGAGGAAATGGAGGAAAATCAGGAACACGATTTTTTCCTCTGCTGAAATCTTCTTATCTTTCACTGGTGAAAACATAAGAGTGGCGTCTCTTACCGTTTTTGAGATATGACAGAAAAACAAACAAAATATCGAAATGGCATTAAATTCTTTAAAACGGTCTGACGGAATCCGCATCCAGTGCACAGTGGGGATTTTTGTAACAAAAAGGCTTGAAATTGTCTGCCGCTGAAACCACACATTGTAGCATATGACTTTCTTTGGGAAAAATGTCAAGAAATTTATTTTTCATATTTTTATTTGACGCACGCTGTGATAAGTGCATGTTTGGAGCCTATTTTGCCCCAAAATCCCATATTTTCTGTAGTTTTTTCCCATTATGATACTTCATTGATTCAAATTTTCAGTACCTTTTATCAAAAGTAGCCAATATGTCTTCTAGTAGTCAGTTTGTGCTTTTTAAAAACTATTGAAAATATTTATAGGGGAGCATGGCGTCAAATAAACCAGATTTAAAAAAAAATTTAAAAAAATCCGAATTTAAACTCAATATTAAAAATTTAAATATGAGATGCCCAAAACAATTACAATAGTCTAAAGGAAAAAAACTGATAAAGCAAGTAACAAGGGTATCGGTGCAAAACAAATTTTATACTTAAACTTGGTCAATTTTGGTCTTTTAGACTATTGCAACCTATTTACTGAGTATTTTGTACAGCGTACATATTTTTTTTTAAATATGCCATCAAAATGAGCAAACTTCTATATTTGACACATGGCTTATTTGACGCCTCATTCTCCTGTGAATGTTTCCAATAGTTAATCAAAGTTCCCTTCCTGGTTTCTAAATGGTATATTTGTAAATTTCAAAAGAGAGATATTGTCTATTTATGCCAATAAACCAGTCCAAATGCTTTCAATTGATAGAAGATTTTGGGGTAAATCAGGTTCTAAACATATATTTATTTGTTCGTACACAGTATGCAAACAAGCACATTGGATGCTTAGATTCCTTTTTACTTCAAGAAAACCTAAATCTCGTGTTAGTATTTCAGCGGCAGAAATCTTTCAAATAAAGTGAATTGTTTTGATATGAGATACCGGGGAAAAATACGCTCAAAACATGCACCTGAATCAGTTTTGTCCTTTAGACTATTTTAATCCACTTTCTGAGTGTTTTGTGCTTCTCATATTTAAATTTTTAATATTGAGTTTAAAATGAATATTGAGTTTAAATTCGGAAAACTTTTATATTTTATTAAAAAATCTGGTTTATTTGACCCCATGCTCTCCTATATATGTTTTCAATAGTTTTTGAAAGGCAAAAGCTGACTACTAGAAGACATATTGGCTACTTCTGATAAAAGGTACTGAAAATTTGAATCAATGAAGTATCATAATGGGAAGAAAAAAACTACAGAAAATATGGGATTTTGGGGCAAAAGAGGCTGCACTTATCACAGCGTGCGCCGATTCAAAATATGCAGAATAAATTTCTTGACATTTTTCCCAGAGAAAGTCATATGTTACAATGTGTGGTTTCAGCGGCAGACAGCTTCAAGCCTTTTTGTTGCAAAAATCCCCACTGTGCAGTGCTTTCACGAAATTAGCAAGCCACCATTTACAAACTTTCATTCCCGAAGCAAAACATGGCAGTATTCTTAATTGCATCCTGCATCATTATCAAATTGCTTGCTTCCTACGGCAACGATGAAAGCGATCGAGTTGCAGGCAAAGAATAAAAACCTCTTCGATTTTAAAACGATACCGATCCAATTTCGAATTCGTGGCGGACAAGTTACTTTGGGTCAATGTCTAATGGAGGTCTAATTGACGTCAAGTTTGCTCCAGTTTGCATCGGAGCGCCTTCCGAAGGATACATTCAATTGAATGATTTCAAGCGACATCCCATTGAATGTATTCTCTTCGACAGCAGTTCTAATATTGGTCTATTTTATTTTTCAATTGAATATGAGAATTAGCAGCACTGATCCAATGATGGAATCGTTTAAAGTTAACATTCTCGTCGAAAATATTGAGAATAGAGTCGTTAAAATCGTTTAGTTCTATTTAATCATCAAACATAAGCATATTTCGAAACTCTTGAAAAGGTTCATTTTCAACGATAATCGCTTCCTCGCTAACTCAGTTACATAATGCCGACGGTTTACATCTTAGATGTTTGCAATGCAAAACGCTAAACAATCAACTCCGATTGTTTGTTATTTTCAAAATCAATAAAACAGTAGATTGCGATGAAAATTTTCTCGATTGCCAAGTCCCTCTTTGCCACCAGTAGCGAATTATACCCACATATATTTCTCCTGAGTCGGTTCTCGTGAACGTGTAAGTTGAAACCGATTCGCAAGCTATGGGAGCTATGCCTGAGCGTCGTTGGTTGGTCGGACCGTCCGTGGCCGCCGCGAGAAAGTCAGTTCATTTTTTAATGGGAAGATGTCTATTTTTACACGCTTCTGGTAGGCGGTAATTTTTCCTTTCTTCGAGCAAAAAAAATAAAACACAGATATTCCGCTAGCTGGTCCATTATTTCGACTCTATTACCGAGACCTGGGTGACATGGGAAAATATTCATACCGACGTAAATTTAGCATCGGTCCGGTAAATGAACCGACCTCTGACACCCGCCGTAATGTTCTAGCAAACCGGGCTGCGATAGTCCTAGAATAAGGAAACGTAGTCAAACACAACTTTCACTGAAAATTTTCGAAATTATATTTCCCCTTGTTTTCACGCTCGTTGATGCGAAACAACCTGTTTGCAGAGTGAATTTCTGTCACGCACCCCCTCGATGAGGTGGCCGCACTTACCACTACCACGGTACTAACAGCACCCAGAGACACACGGATGGTAGAGGCTAAATAGCCGATGAGCACCGCCAATTTGCACTCCGCATAAATTACATCACATCAGTACTGTGGGGCCGAGGCTATTTTTAATATAAACCACAGCGTTCGCACACATCCAAACGCTTGAAATACCTGCACCCCCATCGAGATCACAACCCCCCATTCTTCTTGTACTCTTGTGAATATGCATTTAGTCAGTATGTGTGTGTGTGCGTGTAGTCGTCAACGACAACAACAATGCCAGAAGCGAATAGAAACTGTCGAATCGAAGCCAACGTAGACACACCAAGGACGGATGGCTACGAAGCTTAGATCCAAGATGTTCCCTCAAGTCTGTCCACATCGAGTCTTCACCGTGTGTGTTTTTGCTTGTGTCACCCCCTTCTCCCTGTCTCCGCTACTGTATTGATCAAGCACCTTTTGATTGACAACACCATACCACCCTAACCCAAACCCGCTTGGAGTGAACCAACGGAAAGCTTGTTTCGAAAAACAGCAATAGGAACTAAGCTAATCAACACTTCGATCCCTCCACCCTCAACAATTCTCACAGATCAGCCCGAATGCAAAAAGTGCATCAAGGCGCTGCAGGAGCTGGAGAACATTGACGATGAAGCCGACGAGTTGGACATCGGTTTCGTCAAGATCCACGACGAGGAACTGGCCGAAGAGTACAATCTGGGACCACTGCCAAAGCTAGTGTACTACCGACACCAGACTCCAATTGTCTACGAGCGTAAGTGCTGTGTGATCTCGCCCGCAGGTCTTTTCTTTCAACAAGTCTTTTCCACTGCAGATGAACTTCAGCGGGAGGAAGATGTGCTGGAGTGGCTCGTCGAGAACAAGGCCACCGGCGACGAAGATGACGTAATCGAGGAAGTCAACGCCAAGACGCTCAAGACCCTGATTGCCAACATTGACAATCTGGTCGTGTTGTTCTGTAGGTGTTCCTCCCGGAAGGGTCGTGGGCCTGGATCGCCCAAACGAGCATTAAGGATTTCGTTTATTTTCTTTCCCCCCATACAGACGACGATGGAGACGAAGAATCGGAAAATGTGCTGCAAGAGCTGGAGAACATCGATGACGACTGCGCCAAGCACGGAATCCAGTTTGTCAAGATCGATGATCCGAAGGTGTCCAAGGAGTACGGAATCGATGATGTGAGTAGTGATATTAACACCAGATGAACGCTTTTCTTTGCTGCAGGTTCGGTATCGGTCAGGCTTTATTCCTTGAGGAAAGTGAGCTTGTAACAAATCTGCTAAAGGTCATTGCAATGAATCTCATTGTTTATTAGTAAACGCAGCAAAAAATAATTTCAAAGCGGATGCACTTCAATCGTGTTGATTCTTCGATTTTCATGAAACTTTGGATAATTCAGAGTTGGTTGGAGGGCCATTAATGCGACAATTCAAAGTCAAACGCACACTTCTTTGCCTAATTCGTACGCGGAGATTTGAAGTATGTCTTAAAATCTACAGGCAAAAAAGTGTGCGCCCGCCTTTGCTCATATACTGTCTGCGGCAGTGGAATAGATCTAGCGACGTTTCATCACTACATAAATTCCCACGTTGCCAAAAGCATTTCCAGTTGATGGTGTGTTATAATGCAATTCTTCTTTATCCAACTATTGTGTTGCTCCTTTCGTCATAACCAACTTGGTCAGCTAAGAGAGAAAGCAGTAGGGTGGTTGTTGCGCACTGTACCATCATCAGCATTCTCTAGCTAATAAATTATCACACTAAAGCTACACGTTAGATAGCATTTCCAACCAACTGTGAAAATCGCAAACTTCGCGTATGAAGTAACATAAAAACACTTTGAATTTGCATAATTGTTTGATTGTCAAATTTGTGCTAAAAATCGGCCATTCTGGATCCTGCAATATTTTTCAAAATGGCCTGTTCAAATGGCCTAATCAAAATGACGTCTGATACATAGTTGTGTAGAGAAAAATAAAGTCTATCAAGAAAAATATACACACGAGAAGTAATAAAAATCAATACAAAAAAGTGATAAAAACATAAATAGGTCAAAATGTCCTTGTTCAATATTAACGATTTTGTTTTATTTAAAAAAAGCTCAGTGAAAATATAAAGTTTTCAAATTTTGTAATAATCTAGGCCCTTTTTTTTTTGTTTGATTTGTTTTCCGTCGATCTTGTTTTCTGTACTGGGTACCAATGCTACCAACACCAGGGAGGCAGCTCCCACTCCTGGACCATACCTATTGGCCTCCATTAACTCATGGACCGGGGACAAACGGCTTACTTGTCTTCTGAAGGAAGGCGTGATCAGAGATGTTATGCGTCAGAAAATCCCAGCGGCGCAGACTGGGATTGAAACCAGGTCTTTTGGGTGTGAAGCAATCACGCTTACCACTAAACCACCAGCGCCACGTATCCTAGAACATTTAAAACTTACCAAAAAACTTTTGGTATATATTTTTAACTTTTCCTTAGTACTTTTTATTGCACAGAACACATTATTTCTGGCCTTTTAAATCAATGTCTGAGCAAAAATTAATAATATTGCATAAGCATTTGACTAAATGTTCATGTTTAACGATTTTTGTCAATTTTAAGGGTCCAAGATTTTCAATATGTCAGAAGATTGCATTTATTTAAGGGGAAGATAAACACCCAAAAAAAATACGTTTTGATGTTTCTAAAAGTATTGGAAAAAGGTATAAAAAATCTTAAAAAATCACATTTTTCTAATCTTTTAAAGAAAATTTACGTGCAAAAATATCTTTTGTTATTCATCATGGAATAAAAGTAGGACTCAAGGACCGAGGTTTCAATTTGTTTTTCATTATGACTAAAAAAAATTTAACTGTGAATTTTTGCACGAAGAAAAAACTGATCTTTTTGAATTTTTAATATTTTTCTTCAATGTTTTTAGAATTTTTTTTTTTTTTCGAGCCGTAAATTTTACTTGAAAAATCTACCACGACAACGGCTGTTTGTGTATATTATCTACAAGGCTAAAAACAAATTATAAATATTAAACAACTATATTTTGAGTTATTTAGGTTTAAGCACTTTTTTGAAATATTTACTAATAATACTATTACTTTCCTACTTGAAATATTTACTATATAACTTCAATAAAACATGTGAAATTTTCCAATATAAAAGATGAAATGTTCCATAAACTTTATTAACTTAAAAAGTCACGGGCAGGACATTAAATCTACGCTTCAAGAAAAGATTAAATGCTCCCCAAAAATATGAAATGCGCCAATAAAACAGAAATGTTTATGGAACATTTTAGAATTTTTAATGGGGCATTTCATATTTTTGGGGAGCATTTCATCCTCATGAAACTTTAATTGGATGCGACCCACTTTGAGAAATACTTTAAAGTCACAACCCACCAATACTGAAAAGAAAAAAAAAATCCTCAACTGGCCTGAAACCCGAAAAAACAGCCTGAAGCGAAAAACCAGCTTCAAACCACCAAAAAAACAATTTCATAAAAACGCCACGATAACAATAAATACTACTGCTTTTAGACTATACCTTCTCCTATTTGCATAAAACTTTGCTAAATTATTTGTTATGGCCGATCATTAACATTTAAGCTCAAATTCAACCACTTTAAACCATGCCAAAAAAATTAAAAATGTCGCATTCAATATTTTTCAACAAATCATAACTTACCTGAGGAAATTATTAGAAAAAAAATATCCTATCAATACTTGACCATTGCACAGTGGTCCAGAATGCAGATTTCGTTGGAATGATATGTTTTGAGTCTGAAATTGAAACTTTAGTCTAAAAGTCTCTTCTACAAAGTTGTTCCTTATAGTTAGGCCCTCATTTTTATGACAATGAATTCTAGGGTGGTGACAATGACAATGAAATTTCTCATGAAAGTCATCTGCTAGAGAATTTTAAAGCTCTTTAAGATGTACGTTTCATAGTAAAAGTTGTGGTATGTATCTCTTCTAATAAAAAAGATATACCCAATTATAGTAAAACATATGAAAAAAATCAAATTTATTTAATACGAGTTTAAAAAATAGCATACCTCAAATTTTTTCACATTATTGAGAATAACATAAGCCCTTTCAAATACCGTAAATAAACTTTTTTTTGTTTGTCCCAACCAGAGATATTAACATTTGAAAAGGGCATATTTTTTGTAGAAAAACGTGAATAACTCTTGATCGGCGAAAGATATACAAGCTTTGTTGAGTAAAAATTTGCGCCTTCTAAAGATCTAAAAGTTATTTAAAGACGCCTTTGCTGAGAAATTTAAAATAAGAAAACTAGAGCAAAACAACTATTTTTTTCGAGGGGGACGACTCTATCTACGATGCAGGAAAAATTGTATTTTGTTGTGCTCGGCTGTGGCTAGCTGAGTAGATAGAAAGAAGATTTATCACAATTTTGGAGATTTCCTGCAAAAAGATGATGCGCGATGCAAGTAGATGCGAGAAATGAAAGAAGATTTTTAGAAGATTGATTCGCTGGTGTGAGATTTTTCGAGCATCTATAATTGAGATTTAGATGTGTCGCCCCCCTCGATTTTTTTGAGGCACCCCAACAAACATTGAATGTTGAATAAGAGCTTATTCAGGCAAAAGCAAGCTTCTTCAGCTAAAAAATAGCTTAATCAGCTGTTGATCAACTCAAATTGTTTGTTGGGACCCTAACTCAATTAAAAAAAAATAGCTCTAAATCCGTCAATCTCTTAATACAAAAAAATTTTCTTTAATAAAGTTGCTTTAATTTAGCTCAGCTATAACTTTTCCCAAGAATGTATACACTGGAACCTCCATTTACGAACCAAACCGGGGGTTCGTATATCGAATTATCGCGTAAAAAAAACCTTGTTATTTGGGATTTGCTTCGTAAAAAGAGGTTTTTGAAAATATTGTCAAATACCTCACAATATTGGTATTTTTGGAATCGGAGAGACGTGTAGGGACCGGAAATCGATGTCTGACTCCATTTTTAAATTCAAGATGGCGGCATCCAGTTCATGAAAAACTGGAAAATACTGTCAATACCCCAAAATATGGGTATTTTTGAAATTAGGGTGACGTGTAGGAACTGGAAATCTTTGTCTGACGCCATTTTGAAATCCCAGATGGCGGCATCCGGTTACAGAAAACCTGCAAAATAATGTCAATACCCCACAATATGGGTATTTTTGGAATCAGGGTGACGTGTAGGAACTGGAAATCTATGTCTGACGCCATTTTGAAATTCAAGATAGCGGCATCCGGTTCATGAAAAACTGTAAAATACCCATATTGTGGGGTATTGAAAGTATTTTCCAGTTTTCATGAACCGGATGCCGCCATCTTGGATTTCAAAATGTCGTCAGACATAGATTTCCAGTTCCTACACGTCACCCTGATTCCAAAAACACCCATATTGAGGGATATTGACAGTATTTTCCAGTTTTTCGTGAACCGGATGCTGCCATCTTGGATTTTAAAATGGTGTCAGGCATGGATTTCCGGTTCCTACATGCCACTGCGATTCCAAAGATACCCATATTGTGGGATATTTCACAGTTTTTCCCAGATTCCCATAATCGCAAAAAAAAACTCGTTATTTGGAATTTACTTCGTACAAAGAAAACTCGTTATTTGGGATTTACGTTGCTTTCATCTGATATTCAACTAACCTTTGCGCACAAAGAGAAATTAGCTTCAGTCTTTTTGGATATTAAGGTCGCATTTGATTCAGTTTCAGTCTGCACAGTAGTTGATTACCCGGTATTTTAAATAATTTCTTGTATAACTTGCTGTCAGAAAAACAAATGACCTTCAATCTAGGTCGACTGACAACTTCTAGAATTAGTTACATGGGCTTACCCCAAGGTTTAAGTTTAAGTCCCTTACTTTATAATTTCTTTGTCAAAGATATTGATAGCTGCTTAGATAATCCATGCACGCTTAGACAGCTTGCAGACGATGCCGTGATTCCGTAGATAATCTGTCCTTTTGGGTCGAGTTTTCACCGCAAAAACCTGAATTGCTAGTGTTTACAAGGAAGCGGCTTCCAACCCAACTGCGGCTAAATCTTTTTTGCAGAGACATTAGTCAATCTTTAACCTTCAAATACCTTGGAGTCTGGTGTGATTCAAAACGCACTTGGGGTACTCATATTACGTATTTAAAACAAAAGTTTCAACAAAGGATCAACTTTCCTCGATCAATTTCAGGGACATTAGCGGGGTGCTCACCCGGAAGACCTCATTAAACTATATAAAACAACTATTCTTTCAGTTCTTGAGTATGGATCTTTTTGCTTCCTCTCGGCAAGAAAAAGCCACCTAATCGAAATTGGAACGTATTCAATATCGTGGTTTACGTATTGCCCTTGCCACATTCAACACACAATATGAGCCTAGAGGTTCTAGTGGGCGTAAAATCTCCGCAGAACCGTTTCTGGGAGCTCTCATTAAGAGTATTGATCAAATGTAGTGTCAGTAACAACCTTGTGATTGAAAACTTCGAAGCAATACTTGAATTGAACACCCAGTCTAGATTCGTGCGAATCTACCTTAACTATATGTCATCGAATATTAGCCTTCCGTCGTGTACGTTTTTACTAACTATAGATCCCCCATTGACTATGATCTCTCCATGAAACAGGCTATTCAAGGAGTTCCGGATCAACTTCGACCTATCTATCCCCGTATTTTTTTCTGAAAAGTACCAACAAGTCAATTGAAGATTTTTCACTGATGGATCATGCATTGATTGATCCACTGGCTTCCATGTCTTCAATGAATACTCAACCGCATTGGGGATGATTTCCGACATGCCCACATACCATTACTTCATCTTCTCGGATAGTCTCAGTTCGATTGAGGCTATTCGGTCGATGAAACAAGATAGGCATTCATCTTATTTCCTTTCAAAGGTAAGTGAGTAGATGAGTTTGCTGGTCGAAAGATCATATAGGATTACCTTTATATGGGTCCCCTCACATTGCTCAATCCCAGGCAATTAGAAGACAGACTCTCTCGCAAAGGTGGGCGCACAACAAGGCGAGATTTATGATAGAAGAATTTCACATGATAAATGTTTCCCATTAGTACGTCAGAGTTCTCTTCTAAGTTGGCAAAATGATTGGACAAGTAATTCTCTTGGACGGTGGTTACATTCCATGTTTCTTCGAGAGTGTGGTTCAAAGGTCTGGATGTAAGTCGGGGATTCATTCGCGTGATGTCAAGACTTGTGTCCAACCACTACTCGCTAGACGCACATCTCTACAGAATAAACCTCCTTGACAGCAATATATGTAGGTGCAGAACCGTTTATGATGACATCGATCACGCAGTTAGGCATTGTCCGCGTAATAACGCCTCCAGAGCACGATTGCTGGATACGCTAGTGGCCCGAAGTAGACAACACTTCCGTGAAGTAAGAGATGTATTGGGAACCCATGATCTTCCGTACATGCAGGCGATCTACAAATTCCTTTGCTTGTCTCATGTTAGAGTTTGATGTGACCATCACCTCATTTTCATACGTTTTCCATCCATTATGTCCCTTTCTTATTATCCACCTGTTTCTGTGCTACTTGGCCCTGCCCAGTCCAGAAATCATATAGTTTATCGGGTTGTCATTGCCGTCCGATCACATATTAGGCGATTTAGAATGGTACTGAGCAGCAACTAATCGATTCAAATTATTAGGAGTAAGAACTGAAATCAATGTTGAATAGTATCAATATGAAATTATTTAGAGTACAAAGTTTAGTTACCTATTCCGTCTAGGCCAGACGGCATTAGACTGAATGGATCATTAGTCTAAAACATTAAATAAGTTGTTTACTTTTCAATATCCAGCATTGGCATTGTACTCGCTTTAGAAAAAAAATATGAGCTGCTAAAAAGAAGGCTCTGAGAAGCCGTATGAATTAGGACTCGAAGTCCGTCACCCCTACAAATTGGTTCTCGAAGTCCCTCAGACTTATTCCTTTAAAAAAAAAAGTCACTAGACCTACCAACGCAACCTATTAAACCTACCAGCCTTGAATTACCTAGTAAGCATAAACGGTCGTCACTTGGCCATCGAGCCCCTGACGTTACAACGAACCATTGTGATTTGCGATCCGTCAAGGCCAGCATATAGCTATTTAAATGAAATATAGATACGTTGATAACATGGAAAGACCTCACCATTCAACAGCCAAAAAAGGCAAAATTACTATAGAAACGTAAAAAATATCATAGTGGCCTAGAATCACATATAAATAAATTTTAATCGCCAAAATGGCAAACAACCAAACAAATTGAATTTCAAAACATTAAAACCGGTCTTAAAATCTAAAGAACCGTCCTAAATCGTATAAAATATCAAAAACAGCAAAAATTACAAAACATAGAAATGAAATATCTAAAAGATTTTGAAACAACAAAATATCTACGGATATTCAAAGGAATCAACAACAAAATATTCAACCTACCCCAAAGGCTATGATTAATTGACTTTACTATAATGTTAAAATTATTATAAGAAAATTTGAAGGGTTTTGTATATTAAATTTAGTTGAAAACTTGTTCTTAGCAAATTTTCAGGCCGTTTTACTGAAAAGATAGAAATAGGTTCATATATCAGCTCAGATTTAATTTTAATTATTCCAACATGATTTTATTGAATGCCTACCTGCGATCCACTCAAAGACAGGCCCTAGATTGTCTTGTTTATTAATTTATTTGATAAGGCTCAATCGAATTAACTTTACCGAGCCGAGGATTCTTATTTACTATACAAAATATTGTAAAACTATAGTCAAAAGCACTTTATCTTCCGCTGTCCAATAAGCCTCCTCCATCAGAACGGGATCCGCTTCCAGTGGTTTCATTGTATGGCAGTATCGCTTCTATTGCAGCAATGGACGTGATCAAAACGTGATCAAAACGTGGTCATCACTCACACACTCATCACGAAATGGTTGCTTTCCAAAGTCGATGTCGCATCGACCGAAAGAACTGCTGATGAAGAACAATAACGAGGATCACACAATAGTTGCTACCGAGTAAGCAGACGATCGCGTGACACACACCGAGAGTATGGCCTGCTTCTGTCGACAGCCGAGTGAACACGAGGCCCTAGATTGAGAAACGCTGTTTTTGAGTATTGACTGCATGGAAATATTGGATTGAGTTTTAAACATAACGATAGGTGGCATATTCGCCTGTGCATAGGGACTCTCAAAATTCCTAAAAATGTCCATAAGTTCTAGCTCTAATATAATTAATGGTGCCGAAAAAGGTTTAACAAGAAGATATATAACAACGGAAAAAGATGTTGATGCTACAAAATTCAAACGATGTTGAGGTCCTAAAAAGTAGCAATTGCTAATAGTGCAACAATCTTCAAATCTAAATGATCGGTTACAATTATGGCAGGGAGTTAAAATTTATTCTTGGGGCAAACTCATCTACCAAATACCGACGGCACTGTTCCTACAACTGATCCCCTCTCCCATTCCACGTGCCTACACACGCTGCTCTCGATCGCCGCCGAGTGCCGAGTGCCACGAGTTAATTAGAAACATGCTGGTCTTCAATGTCCGCTATATTTAGATCTTGGTTTCACCAACCGCACTTGTTGCGTTTGGGGTTTTATTTTTAATTCTATCGGCTTCCTATGCTACGGCCGCGGCACGGTGGCGTCGCAGGTCGTTCGACAGTGCACACATGCGTACACGGAAGGGGTGATGGTGTTTGCATCGCGTGGCTCATATTTTGTTGTTGCATACCTTCTGACTGCGGGTGCATTCCGATCTCATTAAAGCTAGCGGCAGCTTCGGCTTCGGCCGTTGCTGCCGGTCATAATTAAGGATGCTGCGCTGCTAGAATAGAACAATCAGGAAGATACCGGGCCTAGATATAATACAATGCATACGTACCGACACAGATGCTAATTATAAAGCTAACCGATGCAATAAGTAAACCGAAACCATTCGTTCTAGATCCCAGCCATCGTCTATTTCGAGAAGGAGATTCCCAACGTCTACGACGATGACCTCAGCGACGAGGATGAAATCCTGAAATGGCTGCTTTCCCAGCTGGAGAAGGACGAAATCGAAGACGTCACCGACGAAATGCTGGACAAACTGATCAAGGAGGGCAAATCCGTTGCCGTTATGTTCTGTAAGTCCTCCTTTCCCAAACCTCAAGCTTGAACCTACCGAACTCATTATTTTCCTCCCCCTACAGATGACAACAACGACAAGAAGTCGGAGAAGATCCTGAACGAGCTGGAGAACATCGACGACGAGTGCGATCAACTGGGTATCAACTTCGTCAAGATGGACGATACGGAGGAGGCCTTGGACTACGGCGTCACCAAGTTCCCCACGTTGGTCTACTTCGAGCAGGGCATCCCGACCGTGTACGAAGGAGACATGGAGAACGAGGAGGAAGTGCTCGAGTGGCTCGAGCGCCAGACCAGCTCGGACGAGATCGAGGACGTCACCGACGAGATGCTGGACATGATCATCGAAAAGATGCCGCACGTGGCCGTCCTGTTCTACGACAAGGACTCCAAGGCCTCGCAGAAGGTGCTGGCCGAGCTGGAGAACATTGACGACGAGTGCGATCAGAACGACATCGCCTTCGTCAAGATCGACGACGACAACGAGGCCAAGGAGTGGGGCATCGAAGAACTGCCCACTATGGTAGGTTTTCGGGACGCGGGGAAAACCGGTAGAACTGGGTATAATTTAAAACCTTAATTCAACAGATCCTCTTCGAGCGCGGCATCCCACACATGTACGAAGGAGATCTGATGCGGGAGGAGGAGCTGTTGGGCTGGTTGGTGCACCAGAAGAGACATTCGGAGATTCCGGAAATCACCGACGAGATGAAGGACAAGCTGATGCGCACCTACGACCACGTTGCAATCATCTTCTGTGAGTAGAAATTTTAGGTTTGATAAAACATTCGTTAGAGGCGAACATTTCTTACCAATAGGAGGTTTCGGAAGGGACTATCCCGAACCTTCCTCTTTAACGAGCATTCTTAAAAGATTTCGATGACAGTTTGATTAGATCTTATAAAAATTGAAAATCCGTGATTTTAAGATCCTAAACTGTGGTCATTTAAGGTGATTCATTGAAGCGTCCAACAATGGCCGTCATGATGGCTGATTTAGCCTATCACGTCAAGTTTTCTAGAGCACAAATCTCGGGCACTGATGTGACATCGCTCATGAAATTGCAACTCCTTGTGTTCTGCCCCGCAGCAAACATTAAGTTACAGTTTCATTGGTGTATGTTTTGTGAGAGCTGATATGTGTGCTCTTGAAATGATGAGGTTATAATGAGATGATAATTAAAATCAATAATTAATTAATTACTCTCAACCTTCTGTTAACCCATAAACGCCCGAATTGTTTAACATTTACGATAATCACGAGATTTTTTCAAGATTAGTTAATTGAAGTCTGAGAACTATTTTAACCATATTTTAAACCAAATCTACGGGTCCAATTTTCTGAAACACACGGTGGGTCAAATGCACCAAAAAAGAAAAAAAAATCACAGGCTGTCAGTTGAATTTTGGAGATCGGTTCAATTCATTTGAAAGTCTAAATTGTTTATCATAAGTAAAAAAAATTAAACAGAGGGTAAATTACGGCTTCGATAATAATGTTACGGGTAAATACAGTCCATGAGCAAACGAGGTTCAAAATCGACCTCGTGTAGCACTCAAGAGCAGTTCCACGTTAAATGAAGAATGACGATCTGATGCAACCTTCACCGATTTACATGAATCTTTGAATAATTGTGTGTATCAATCACATATAAAAAACAGCCATTTTCGGTCTTGTATTTTTTTTTATTTTTTTCAAAATGGCGTCTTTGTTGTTTTCCAATAAATTGTAGCACGAAATTGTCACTTTTGACATGAATCTGAGTGTTAGCAACTCTAAAGTTTCAAAGAGTATGTTTTTTTTTCTTGAAGCTTATAACAAATGCAAATTTTTGAAACATTTAATACCATAGACACCTTAAAATTGACCAAAATCGTAAAACAATAACTTTTTCTCAAATAGTCGACCTTTTTGCTAGTACGCTTTTTTATGTTATTTCTACACTTTCAATAATATTTGAGACGCTCTAGATCGTTATCTGAGCAAAAATTACACATTAACAAGAAGTTTAAAAATATTACCAAAATTTTATGTACTAGGATTTTTGTAAATTTTCAAGTGATCATGGTTTTAAATACTACTAAAGTTAGCACTTTTCATGAGTTTTATTTCAAAAATAAATAATAAATATTTAAAACATACTTTTTGAGATATTTCAGTTGTTATTTTTTTATTTTTTTTACCCAAAATTACTTAAAAAAATTACCGCGTAAATTTTTCCCAGAATAACTGTACTTTTCAAAACAACTTGTCTCAGACGTCATTTTGATCAGAAGTAACGTTTTAGTGCTACAATGTATTGAAGAATGTCAAAGACGCCATTTTGAAATTTTTTACTAGGTCCAATATGATTGAATTTTTGAAAAAATGCGGATGATTGCCCATAACACATAATTTTGCAAAGTTTCATGCAGAAGGTCACGGAGAAGGTCAGACTTTTTTATCTTATGTGGCCTGGAACTGGTCTTATGGTAAATCATTCACATTTTTGCTAAAACTCTGCTAAAAAGCTTCGTGCCTTTGGTGCGCGATTGATTTTTAGCAAGCAAACTTACACACCGCTGATAACATAAAACACACTCGTGCAAATAAATGGATCCAATAAATGTCACTCTCGCTAAAGGAAACCCGTCGTCACCGAACGGCGAAAAAAAAAGAACTCGGTCAGCAATTTTGTGACAAGGAAATTCCACTGAAAATCACCCATGAATGCACGAATTTCACCACACCCAACTGCGAAACACGTTCAGAAGCACTTTTGGTACACTTTCGAATTTCAATTTCGGTCGAAAATACATAATTTTTTGAAAAAATAGTTGCCAGCGAACCAACATCAACACCGACCGTACTGAGCTCTTTCACGCACCTTACAACGCGTAAATAAATTGAAAACTATCACTCGCGATGCCGCAAATTTCTGGTCCGGGAGAAAAAACAAACAACGCAGGTAGCGACATCTCTTCTGAGACTTGCAAACACACCGTCGTATAACCGTCCGGGAGGCAGAGTGCCAGCGCTAATCAGCCAAATGCAGCCGAAAACTATGAAAGCGAACGCACGCTCAAAACAGAGAGCAAACTTAAAACACAACCGTATCCGAGAGGGTTCGAAACTGCACTCTGGACGAAAGAGCTCCAATAAGGCAATTGTGAGAAAAGCCCCGGATGAATTTAAAGGCGAGTTCAGAGTTGAATGCGTTGGCTATTCTGAGGAAAATTCAATTATGAGAAGATGACGATTATTTCAAGAATTCCTGCCGCTAAATTCCGGACATGCATTTCGTCGAAGAGAAAGAAATGTCTCCATATGAATTAGGCCCAGTACTCAGCTGTTGGTCAATTTGTAATGAAAATGCGAAAGAGATAGGCGAAATGTTGGCTTAACCTATTATCTTCAGGGGGTAAACAAAGTCCTAGAGCACTCAAATTTGGCCAATAGATGCTCTGAAAGACAATGTATCCACATGCCAAAATTGAGCTCTCAAGGACGTTGTTAATAGAATAAGGTATTGCCGAAGCCGTAATTTACCCTACCTGATAATAATTTCAAGAAATTTTCAATGGTATTTGATTCTAAGGATAGTTTCAAAATAATTGATCGCATGACAAAATGCCAAAAGGACAAAAAGTCAAATTACAAAACGTCGAATGAAAAAAGGTCGAAGGTACAAAAATTCTAATGGACAAAAGGTCGAATCAAGAGAAGAAGGACAAAAGATCGACTGGACAAAAGAATGAATGGACAAAATGTCGAATCACAGACAAACAGACGTAACACTTCACTGTGTATCTTCGTTCACGCATTTAACAGTTGATTTGAATTTTATCAGTTCCACGAACTACTCGCCGCAGCGCTGGCATCGAATCACTTTGACGTTTCTATACATTCTATAGAACTTTTATGCAATTTGTTTGTGAGTTAGCAAGCTTGTTTTCCGCGAGAAACCCGAGAGATGTCGTTACTGAGATCCTATGTTTTGAGATACTATGTTTTCAAGAAGAAAAAAATTCAAAGTGTTACGTCTGTTTGTCTGTGGTCGAATTGACAAAGGTTTGAATGATTCAAAGAGGAAAAAAAAGGTCGAACGATTCAAAAAGGGACAAAATTAAAGGTTTAATCGACAAAATATCGAATGACAAAAAGTTGAATGGACAAAAGGTCAAATGATTCAAAGAAGGACAAAAGGTCGAATAATGAGAAGAGGGACAGAAGTTCGAATGGACAAAAGACCGAATGATGAGAAGGGGGATAAAAGGTTGAATGGAAAAAAAGCGCCGAATGATTCAAAGAGAGACAAAAAGTCGACTGGTGGTTCATTTTGTTGCGAAGCCCATTTGGCTAGATGATAAATAGTGGAAAGAATGCTTCACAGACTTAGTTAGGACACCGTTACGTTAAATATTAAATGACTAATCATCAAAATCGATACATTTTTTGATTATTTGAAAGAACGAGCAATGACGAATGACGAAGGAAAAGTTTAGAAACTGAGATCTTAATAACCAGTTAATAAACCATGAAAACATTATTATTCAAAAGAACTGTGCTTGTTTGTAAGAAATAAACTTTTTTAAACGATTTTTTATAATCATAGAACAAGAAATTGTGGTCATTGGTTTTTGACATTTTTCACAGAAAATGATTTAAAATGTCTCAAACATCGTTTTTTGAATGAAACGCAAAAAACGACGTTTGAGACATTTTAAATCATTTTCTGTGAAAAATGTCAAATACCAATGACCACAAGTTCTTGTTCTATGATTTATGTAAATTTGTAAGTGTCTATGTCTTTGAACATTCCAAAAGTTTTCATTTTACATGATCTTTTAAAAAAATCGGACGAAGACATTTTGAAGTATTAAGGATTTTAACATTCGTTGTTTTTATTTTCCCAGAAAAAAACATTTCTTTTCAGTACAATTATGTCTCAGGCATCATTTCAATCAGAAATGCCGTCTCCATGCAAAAAATCATTGAAAAATTTAAAGAACACCATTTTGAAAATATTACGGTATCCAAAATGGTTGAATTTTAGCAAAAATGCAAATCATTGGCCCTAACAAACAAAAATCGAAGAAGGTCAATTAAAAAATTTATTGCTTTATTCAATACTTTACCTGGGGCTGCTATTATATTAAAAATTTGCGCTAACCCGCTACTCTACTGGCTACTCCTTTGAATCAGCCTTAATATACTTCATTAACATCTTCGAAAAAAAACTTAACTGCCTTGCATATTGCTACAAAAGAAAAGAGTTCTTGATTGAATTTCATCATTTTTAACAATTTTCGCGGTAGTTCACCGAACATAGGAAATTTCGCGCAATTCGTGGCTTCCGCGAAATCGCGAATTTCCACTATCCCTATATGATAATGCTATCGTAACAAACATTGACACTCTGTTTCCCTTTCTTTATCCCACCCTTCCGGCAGACGACAAGGATGACAAGCAAGACATCCGGGTCCTGAACGAGCTGGAGAACATCGACGACGAGCTGGAGAAGGAGGATATCATCATTGCCCGTCTGGACAATGCCGAGGAAGCCCGCGAGTACGGTCTGGACCACCTGCCGGCGCTCGTATACTTCGAGAACCAAATCCCCGCCGTCTACGAGGGTGACCTGATGAACGAAGAGGAGGTCCTCGAGTGGCTCAAGCTTCAGAAATATTCGGCCACCATCGAGGAGGTCACCGACGAGATTCTGCAGGACCTGATCGAAGAGCACGAATACGTGTGCGTGTACTTTAGCGGTGCCTGCGAGGAGGGTGAGAAGTGCGACAAGATTTTGGACGACCTGGAGAACATTGACGACGAGCTGGACGAAGCTGGTATCATCTTTGTTACGACCGAGGACATGTCCACCGCGAAGAAGTACAACATCAAGACCGTGCCGGCGTTGGTGTTCTTCCGCAACAAGGACCCGCTGATGTACTCCGGGGATTTGAACGACGAAGACGAGGTGCTGGCCTGGCTGACCGACGAGGAAACGCTGGAGATTCCCGGACGGATCGAGGAAGTTAACATCAAGATGCTGGAGAAGATTCTTTCCGAAAACGAGCACATCGTTGTCTTCTTCTGTGAGTTGAATTTGGGTTTGATTTTGTTTCGAGGTGGATTTGATTGATTGGTATTTTGGGGTTTAGATAATGACGAAGACAAGAAGTCACTGAAGATCATCAACGAACTGGAGAACATTGACGACGAGTGCGAAGAGAAGGACATCGATTTCGTGAAGACTTCGGACGATGACGTCGACAAGGAGTACGATTTGGAGCAGCTGCCGGCTTTGGTGTTCTACCGCCACAAGTTCCGTACCATCTACAGCGGGGATCTAATGAACGAGGAGGAGATCCTGGAATGGGTTCTGCAGCAGTACGAATCGAAGCCGGAGGTGATCGAGTCGGTTGACCGTAAGACCCTGCAGGTGCTCGTTAACGAGGTGGAACATCTGGCTGTGCTGTTCTGTGAGTAGTTTGCAATTGACTTAAGTTAGGAGGCTGTTGTTGAATGAATGCTTGGCTTGTTTTAGATGACGACGAATGCGAGACGTGCCCGAAGATCCTGGAGAAGTTGGAGACCATCGATGATGATACGGACAAGCACAACATTCAGTTCGTCAAGGCCAACGATGAGAAGCTGGCGCACGAGATCGGTATCTTCTCGTTCCCGGCTCTGGTCTACTATGAGACTGGCGTCCCAATTATGTATGATGGTACGTGCGATCTTTTCAGTTTACATGTCTAGCAGATGTTGTGCCCCTTTGAAGACGACATTTTCCACGAATCCAATGACTGTGTACAGTAGACAAATCCTAACCTCAATTGTGTGTATATTTTTCTTCTCTTCTATTTCCCTACCCGATACAGGTAATCTCAAAAACGAAAAGCGCATCTTGCAGTGGCTAATTGATCACAAAAGTAAGCTCTCTTGGTGTAATTAGTTTTAACCGTTTTCTCTTCTTTAAGTTGATCGATATTTTTGACTTTATTTTCGCATCGTTCTGATCCATATGAACAAGTTTTGAACCCATCGTATTCCAGATCCCGTACTCGAAACCAATCAAGTGGCGTACCCCTTTGCCCCCTGTTTCCTGAAAATTGTGCGCCCCCCAACCCTCCTCCTATCGTACCATATGGCTTCTCCCCGTGCTTTGATTATTGTTAAGTCCTGACCCCACGCAACGCTGTATACGGTTTCCCATGTCTCAGAAACATTCCATTGATCATCAAGCCTATCAAACCATATTCGAAGATCCGAGCTTCAAATGCTTTTTCTCTTATTCTTTCATGCACACTCTATCATCAATCCACCACAAACACACAAACACACACACACATTGTCGCTATCTGTCTTCCCCTCTGTGAACCTCCGAACCTATGACAAACCATTCCATACAAATTCCCAGGAAAGTATGATATCAAACTGAAATACAGTGGCGGTCAGATCAAAGAACGCAAGATGGTCGTTTTCTCTGACCCGGAAGAAGAGGCACGAATAGCGAGCCTTCAAGCGGAAGCCCGGGCCCGATCGGGGGTGCCGGAGAAATCCATCCTAAAACCGCCACCAGGAACCCCTATCACCAGTCTACAATACAATCCCATGCCATTAGGTAACCTCCGTAGGATGTTGTAGCTCTTTCTCTGTCGCACTTTCTGTTTCTCTTTAGAGCAGCTATATGCCATTAGTGGAAATGCCTTTTGTAGAGCCTCAAAATTGTCTCACTCATACCAGTACTCAACCAGTAGTGCGCACTCGATAATGATAGAGTGCCCCTTCCCTAAATGTAGGCTCACGTGCACGCACTTGCATCCATAGGATGTGGCCGCATTCGAATATGTAGAAGCAATTATTGGTGTCGTTCAAATGGAACTTACCGGTCACGTGTCTGCACGTGTTTCCGTAGTCTGTAGGCTTCCTAACCACTATTGTTCTAGAATAGATCTCGCAACGCGCGCCAAGACACACTGCACGAACGCTTGCCCGAAATTCGGCTTGATTGGTCTTCTTCGTTGTTCGACGATACTCGTTTCCTAGTGAATGGGGGAATGAATAGTACTACATTCCTTCCCGTTTCGTTGTTAGATGTTCTGTCTTGAGAATCACACTTTCATTACCGACATTTTCCAGATAACAAATTACCGAAACCTAAGCGATCCAAGAAAAACGAAGTTCCCGAATACATCGATAGAGAAGATAGGATTGATAAGAGCAGGTCTAAACATAGTAAACTCAAACCAATTCCCAAGCTACAACCCATCACCACCACCACCACCACCACCACCACCAAGCCATCCAAAACTGCCAAATCTGAACCGCCCAAAAAGACCAAAGAAAGCAAAGCTCAAAAGCCCCAACCGCCATCGTTCAAGCCCCTGAAAAAGCCTGAGCTCCAGAAAGCCGAACCGGTCAAACCCAAAACGACGGACCTAAGGAAGTCCGATGATGAAGGTACATTTCCCACTGAAACTGTCCTAACGACACGCAACTGTCCGTGTAAATAAGAACTGTATCTTCACTAAAAACCCACCAATGCCTAATCCATAGAGCGGGACCCCTCCACGGCAGCAAGGGGTCTTTCGATTGTATATATCTGGCACACATTCTCGCTCTCTTTTTCTCTGTATGTAATTCTATCAAAACTCTCCTATCTCCACTCAAATCAATTTTGGGCATAGACCTGTGGGACATTCCAAATTTAGATTAGCCGCCATGCTAGAAGCGTATGTTTTCTTCTTTACTTTTCCTGTAGTTTGTAAATATGCCACCAACTTTCCGACCCTTTCTCTACGCTAATGATTGTAGCTGACACCACCAACCACACAAGATGGTGATCATTTTGAGTGCAAATACTTCCTACTTAAACAATCGCCTGCACGGATCCAACCTTGAAACGATCACATTTTGCATATGTTTCTGTTTTTGTTTTTACTCACCAACACAACCACGCCACCAAAGAAAGTCACACGAATCTGTTTCTGTTGTATCTATTGTTCGTTTTTGCTGTGTGAGTGTGAGTGAGATCGTACGATCACATTCGTTGTTGCATGTCAATCTATCCCTGAAGGCTCCTTAATAATAATTGCTGTTATCGATTACAACCCAATCCGCCTAATCCTAGCTAGACCACCCCCTCCGACCCCGTCCTCTCTTTTTCAAGTAGATGTTGCAAATATCGGAAAGCCGTTTACCCGAAGGTTTCCTCTTGAGATTTGAAAAGAATTATGATTTTAGCTGACACAATGTTTTGAAAACTGAAACGATGATGATCAAAGTTTGCTTTGAACCGCAGAAACTTTTAAAGAAATATGAAAACAGTATGGCAATCGCAGTAGCAATGAAAACAGAAAACATTTAATCTAGTTGTATTTTTAGGCGAACTTGACATTATTTTGAGCTGCATTGGGGCCGATGAGGATGTCATGAGATGCGAGGGAGAGAAAAAGAGATTGGCACCGGCCGGACCGGATCCCAGGAAAAAGAGAACGACCTCCACGGCAACAATGCAGCGCAAAATAGTTCTTTAGCTAGTTTGTTTTGGTTTGACTCTAGCCATGTGAAAAATTGCAGAGCTTCTACTGCTCACTTATTTCCTCTCTCTATCTCTCTCATTCTCTTTCACTGTCTACTGCTATTAGTTTCTTGCGTCGCTCATTCTCTCAGATTTTACTCTCACTCTCTCGCTCAATGACTCCCTGCCTCGATCGCTCAATGCTAAATTTTGTACAGTCAAAAAATGCCGCCCTAGGGAAGCACAATTGTAAAAAGCAATGACAATAGAATACACTGAAAAAAAATATATCTCTAAATATTCGGTTTGGTTTACAAAAAACATTTTGTCAGTTAATTCATAAATTAGCTGCTCGTAAGAAAGAACAAAAAAAAACTTGCCTGTGATGCATTGTTTGCAGAGCCTTCTCTCACCATAACAATGTACACTGGCAAACGCGGAATGATGTTTTGAATGGTAACTCCAAAAATAGCGCAAAAAAAAACTTTCACTAATAAACCCATCGCAAGAACTCGGAAAATCTGTCTCACTAAGTGTATTTTTTGCATCCTGGAGTTCTACTTCTACTAGTTGCATAATACAGAAGAGCAAACTAAAGTGAGAATGATACATTAATAAAAATTTGTACTAACCTTGCATACCTGAAAACAAAACAAAAGATATATCTACCGTTTGTCCTTCTAAGAACTGCAAATTGCAACAAAGTTTGAATGTATTTATCTTTTTTTTTTCACTACCCTTACTAGTTCAGTGCCAATTTTTTTTGTACTATCCAAAAATAAAAACAAAACAAACCGTTCCAAAACTAAATCTGACAAAATGTTTTTTGTATACACACAGATGACGAATGTTTCTACGTTGGATTGGGTCACGCCGGTCGTGTAACCAAGAAAAACAAAAAGTCCACCAAGGAGGACGATTCGTTCCGTTGCTGCCCGGCCAAGGTCGAGAAGAATACCCGCGTAACGCAGATGGCCGCCCAGAAGATCAGCCGCCGCGACAGCGAGGAAGCCGAGAGTCAGTTTGCCTTCAAGCAGAAGAAGCTGTCGGATGTTGCCGATGCCGCTGCCGCTGCCGGCAAGGAAAAGAAAGCCGCCCAATCCAAGAGCCAGATCGATGTCAAGGTGAAAGGGAAGCCCAAACTCAAGGGCAAAGGTAAAAAGGATGACAACGACGACGACGACGACAATGATGGACTGTTCGGCAAACTAGGCTGGTGGTAAACTGAAACTTGAAAGCATCAAAACCCCATCTCTCGTCCATTAATCTCGCCATTTATAGAACAAACACAGAGTACCTTTCCAAAGGCCCCCCATAAGAACCATCTATCTCGTATTTGTGAACCTTGTTACGCATGAACAAACCAACCAACCAAAACAAAACAAAACAAAAACCTGTCAAATGGATGACGTGCGATGCGAACACGTCTTTGAGAGCAGATCCCCAGAAAAACCAATCTCTGACATAAAACCATCAACCAAAATCACCCGTTTTGGCATGCACCTTTCCAAAAGAAAAATATGTTCAGATAAAAAAACGCTTCTCTGAATGCTACTCTCAAATCCTGTGTGAGCGCAGACCAACAACAACATCATCAACAACAACTGTCCCAGAGCAAAACCAATGTCCGTTGCCGACATACAGATATCTAAAAGAAACTATCTCTTTATCTTCCCTTCCTCAGATGCGCCTAAGTAAAAAGAGAGAGAGAGAGTGAGAGAAAATATTGGTAGTCGTTGACAAAATGACATCCCAACAATCACAATCAGAGAGAAAGAGACAGAGAAATATTTCTTAAACTGAGAGCGCAAATCAAAAGCGATAATAGTTAGAGTAGAATGCAAAAACCAACTAGAGAATATTTAAAAAAAAAACTATCAAAGAAGAAGGTCGAGATATTTCAGTAGCTTTAGCCGTAACTAACATTTAAGCAAAGGAAAGAAGAAGAAAACCTCTTTCGAAAAGCAATCGAAAGATTATACACAACACTCACACACACACACACACACGCCATGAACAAAAGATAGCGCAGTAGGCTAACCAGTAGCTCACTCACACACGCTCGCACGCACACATGCACGCAGAAAAAGACGCAATGTGAATCGCAATCGATGCATATTCAAACCTCGCACATTTTCGGCAGAGATATTAACTATTTATTCGTCGATAGTCTACTACTGTTTTATTTTGTTCAATCTCTTGAATAGACTGCAAGTTTGTTATTTACAAAAGAGTATATTTATAAACGAGAGCAAAGTACACACTAAGCAAACGGAAAAATTAAGCACTAACTTTTCATTTTTGAGTTGATTTTTATTTTTGTTCTTTTGTAAGAGTAGTACAGCGCAGATAAAACTATACACACTAGCTTATAGGGATGGACTTGAATGACTGCAAGCGGAGGAGTTTCTTTTTAGTTAAGGAATTTTTTTTACTACAAATGATAGAGTCTAGCACGCGCACCGTTTCCGCATTTGGACGGTCCGCAATCGCCGCTTGTACTAACACTACGACGCACGCGCACTATGCACACACGCACACTCCCGCAGCACTCACACATTGCTAGTAGCTGGCGAGGTATCTTCGAGAAACGCAAACAAAAATAAGCAATAATGCTGATTGGTACAATTCAACGCACCAACTAAGCAATGGACGAATGTTGAAATGTATACAGATCTCTTTTGAATGCAAAACAGAAACCAAAACAATTTTGGTGTCAAGTAAGAGTAGTTGTAGTTGCGCAAATTTTCTATTGTGTATACAAAATGCTCACATTACTGCCCGCCCAATCCAGACGGTGATGAACGGTATAATCGTATGTAAATAGAAACCATTGGCGTACAGGTATTGTTCAGTTGAGCCTCTTCGACTTTGAGAAGAAAAAAGTTAGTATTTATTAGGTTGATTTGTTAGCTATCTTGTTGATTAGATTTGTAATCGAACGAAGAGCGCTAAACAGAGAGAGGCAGCTTTAATACGTATGTAAACATAATCGACTGCCATCGGCAGGATGCCGCCAAAACCTCCAAGCATCCACCACAATCAAACGGCGAAACCAATTTAAACCGATTCATTCCTTAATTTCGTATTTCTTCCACCTAATTGGTCGGTTCGAAAGCAAAACAAGCTATTTTTTGAACATTTTTCTAGTGCTTGTCATTCGCCACAATGACAATAGGGATCACCGGAAAATATACAAAATGAAGGAATCGAAACGACATAACTCAAACTAAGTAGGACAGATCAAACTTTCAAAAACAATTAGGGAGGCGAGACGCGCAACCCGTCATAATGAACAATAGTATTTTAAAGCTCACCAGAAAGCTGTCGAACGAATTCTATCATACAGCAAGCGAACAGCTGAGTAACACCACTTAACAAACACATGTCGATAATGTAAACAGTCAGTTTAGGAGGAAAACTTTCAAAGCAACACATGACCACAGACTTGAAATATTTCTTACTCAGAAGTGAGCCGTTCTGAATAATGATAAACTAGAGGTTAAGTTTCTTAAAAAAAAAATCTAGGCGAAAAAGCACGAGACGAGGTCATACGAAACATACGTTTCAGTTCAACATTAAAGAAGGAGATGCAAGAAATAAGTTTAAACAGTTCTATTTCTACTGTTATTGCCATACTATTTATTTTTTCTATAATTTTTGAAACTTTAAATTTAATAAAGTTTTGATTCACTTCAAACGGAAACCAATTCCTGTGCGGATTTCTTTCTCTTCGCCATTCCCAATCCGAACGTATTGCTTGGTTACAAACTTCATTTTTTCGCGAATATCTAGGGAACGTGACAACAATTAGCCCACTGCAAGATGTGAGTACCGTTCAACTTTGGTCCACCCCTACTACACCGGAGAACAGAAGAAACCGCGAATCATTCCTTTCCAATCCCGTTGCAGGTGACCTCATGAACGAGTACGACGTGATAGACTGGATCTCCGACCAAACCACCGACGAAAGTATCGACGAAGTCGAGCGCGACGAGTTGTTCGAGTTGATCGAAACCAAGGACTTCCTAGCTGTAGTCTTCTGTAAGCCTAGCAAAACTCTTTTCATCCTCGATAATCCATGCTAATCTCCCCCCCTTTCAAAAACAGACTTGGAAGACGACGAAAACAGTCCGAAGGTACTGCGTCACATCGAGCTGATCGACGACGAAGCCGCCGAGTATGGAATCGTGCTGGTCAAGTGCTCCGATAAGCTGATGGCGAAGAAGTACGGCTTCCGTAATCCACCCGGGGTGACGTACTTCCGCAAGGGTAAGGCCATCAACTACGACGGTGACATCGACGACGAGGAGGAACTGCTGGATTGGTTGACCAATCCGCACAACATGGAGATGACCGACCACATCGAGAAGGTTAATCGGAAGATGTTCCACAAGATTCGGCAGGCGTCCGACTATTTGGCTGTGTTCTTTTGTAAGTAGAATGGATGTGGGGATGTTCGGTTTTGATATTGCTTGCAGCATTTTGCAATAGAGTGCACGGTTTACATGTGACGGCATTAAAATCGTTAAAGTAAATAGTGCAGAAGGGAGTCTTTTTTCACAGTTCTCGGATTTTCGACGTGCCAGACGGGATTTGAATTCATCCGGGTTTTGGCACGTGGTGGCAAACCCGGAAATCAAGGTGCTCTTAAAAATTGCATTTGATATTGTAGAGGATCCTGATAGCTTCGTATCCCGGCAGCAGTTATCTTTCCCTGGCATCGAACATCCAATACAAGCTCTTGAGCATCGGACCCGATCCCTTCGGGGTGTTTCGGGGTCTCCCGATGAGATCCTACGAGGTGGGAACAGGGGTTGAAAGCTGTTTCTTCGACAGGAATTTGCTAAGGCTCAGAAAATCATCTCCACGGATACCGTATGAACTGTATCTGATTTTTAGAACCACAGATGTATAATTTTCATTAGAAAACTTTGATAATTGATGTATATATTGCCAATGAAATGTTTATTTCACCGATTCTGATAACGTCACTTAAAACATGACAGGAGCGGAGTAACTAACCTAGTATATGTAAGCAGTGATAAAGTGGTTCGAACTGGAGTCTTCGTATAAGAGTCATGTCAAAAGAAAATCAGTGAAACTCTCTTCACGGTCTTCCAAAAATTCCTTTACCTTGCTCATGGCAACATGGGACTTCTGCAACAATTTTAATTGACTTCTAGCGAAAGCGATAAAGCAAATTAACGACTGTATTAAGTGCTGAGGTTTCTCTAAGACTTGATCCTCAAAAAAATCCTTCGTCAAAATCTCACTCATTTTTTCGTCAATAATAAATGGTAACAATGGTAACAAAAATTGTAATTTCGTGCATTTTGTGTCACATTATTGTTATCGAAGCAGTTCAGGACGTAGATGCTTGTTCACGGCTCCATGTGTTGCTCAACTTATTTAATTTCGTTACAAATTTAGTTGATAAAAACTACAAGGGACAGCCTTATGGGGTTGTACGCAATGGTGACGTAGGACTAGGTGGTCTCATATCATAAATCATATTTGTTAACTGCAACAGGAGCTTGTGTTTTGTGTAGGAATAAGAATTTGAGCAAGGTTCTCTCTGTTTATACTCTTTAGTATGACGCGCTTGACATAGATGGCCCACAGCGACTCACGAAGAGCTACTGATTCCGATCAATAGCGGTGCGGCTTCTTCCTCCTTCTATGGATGCTCATGTGGGTTGCAGCTAGCTGCTTGCAGACAGCCTTTCGTTGTGTACTGGAGAACAATGATGAACGCCAAGCGCCGAAAGCGCTGCTGCTGATACCGACGACCGGACACCACCACACACGGTGATTGGAACTGAATTGAAACTGAATTGCGGGCAGTCTTTATAGCTAGCTGCTTGTGGGATCCTTTCGTTGGGTACTGGAAAACACCACCACGCGGTGATCGAATGAACACCGTTTGGTGAGACCGGATAGAATTCAACTTTGAAATCTGTGTTAGGAAAATCGCTTTTAGCAGAAAATCGGTGATAATTTTAATTATCATAGCAACAGTTGCACGGTCGTGCAATTTTCAACATTGAAATTTTGAAAAATGATAAAGTCTTAAGATGTGTAAAAATATTTCTGGTCGATTGATGATAAAATTATTGAAATTAGTCCAGGGGCAGCAGAGTTATTAACGTTCAAAAATTTTCATAATTTTGTTACATGTTCCATTTTCAAAAAATCTACACATGTTCGTCACTGACAGCATTATCATTGACAATTGACATGGTTTGCCTTGACGATGGCTGTTAGCTCAAATGAGTGACCAAAACTATATTGCCAATATCACCGTGTATTGTCGAGATTTTGCAGCACTGGCTGTATTAAATCATTATATCAGTGATTTTTTTTTTAATTTAACAACAAATATTACACATTCTCATTACTGATCATTACCAAACGTATCTCATGATAATGTAAAGCTCACTGCATGTTTGGGAACCTGCATAAATGAATATGGTGGAGGGAGTTCAAAGTTGGTGTTTCATCAAACGCAAACAAACGTTTAACGTTTGTTTAAGTTTCATGAAGCGCCAATTAGCGTAGCGTTGCGTAACAGAACGTATTTTTAGACATGGCTAGTGACTTTAAAATGCTACGTCATTTTTTTCTTCTTTATTTAAGAGATTATTAGCCATAGGCTAGTTCATCTCTTTGTCATGGGGATGTCTCAGAAGGAGAACCTCAGGAAACGGAGTTTTTGTTTGACAGAGTGTTTTTATTTTACTAACATTGTTGTTTGGTTGTATGCTGCTATTCTGCGGGTGGACACAGTCACGAGGGCCGACGGCTCATTCCATGTGGCATCCCACCGCCTGCTAAGGCTGTGTACAGCCTTCCTGGCTCTTCATAGGAAGTTAAAAAGAAAATTTAAAATTAAACTGAACAAGACGGCACCGTGACGAGGTCCAAAGGCTCATCCCGTGCGGAACCGTCCCGACAGCCAAAAGAAAACATACAAACAGAAAATGACAAGGTACTGACTACTAACAAAGATCCGAACAAAACAGAGCTCAGCTGAATGGGTCCAAAAGGGGGCTACCATCCAGCTAAGATGTCCCGACGGCCGAAAGAGAATCTGCTATACTAGATGGAATAAATTTGCTTCTTTGAGGAATGTGAAGAGAGCTGCAGATGCCGGAGTGTCGTCCCCTAGCAGGTCCCTGATGCTGGAGGTGAGATCGAAGGAAACCCGAAGATCCTGGAACTCTGGACAGTTACACAGGATGTGTTCCACTGTGTAGGGAACGCCGCAGATGACACAGCTTCTCCGGAACGGAAGCCCACTGTAGTTGTAGTACAGCTTGGTGTGCCCCGTTCGCAGCCACGATATAACCCGTTGGTCTCTCAAGCTGTCCATTTCACTCCAGGCTTGGGTTGTCGCCTTGATCTTTCGGATGAAAGTGGTCCTGGACTGGTACCACTCAGCTTCCCACGCTTCTCGGGAGGTTTTTTCGATCCACCGTTGTAAATCCTGCAATGGTACCTTGTCGGTGAAACCTCCCAACAGACAATTTGACTTGATCAAAACCTGAATAAGCAATTTTTAAGCTGAAGAAGCTTATTTTTGCCAGAATAAGCTCTTATTCAACATGCAATGTTTGTTGGGCTAGACCCGAAGGCCCTATTCCGGCAAGTTGATCTGCTGATTCATTCCCAGGAACTCCGCAATGTCCGGGTATCCATGAGTAGACCGTGTTCTGTGGTGCATATTTTATGATCGCCTGGATCCAGGGATGTTTTGGTGTTTCCGAAGCCAGAGCTTGGATGACACTGTGCGAGTCCGTAAGAATCAGGATGGGCTTGTTGGCCGGTATTGTTGCAGCTCGGAAGATAGCGGCAGCCTCAGCCGAGAATACCGAGCATTGCGGGGGAAGACTGCTGCTTTCGTTGATGTTTTCTCCGAATAATCCGATTCCAACTTCGTTTCTTGACCGTGAGCCGTCTGTGTATCGGTGAGTGTGATTGGCATAGTTGGTTCCAAGTAACTCCACCACTGATAGACGGAGTACTATCGACGTATCCCCTGCTCTGAAACGTTCTTTAATTCGATTGTCCAATATAATACGCGGAGAGTGCCAACTTATCTCTCCATGCCAATGGACTTTGGCCACTGGGGGGAGGTCGGTGTTGGCGGCCGTGCGGAGGACTCTATTCCCCTACTCGAGGAGAAAGACCCTTTGAGATCCGGAGGTTTTTGCAGAAAATGCAGTGGCTTTCGTGGCGATGTTGATGTGTAGACGGTACCGGAAAGGGAGGAGACCTGCTTCAACACAGGCAGCGTCTGCTGGAGTGGAAGACAGGAGACAAGATACGATCCGGACGTAGTTATTGTAAACCGGCGCTAATGTTTTTGTTAGTTTCTCCGAGGCAATACATGTGATTTCGGACCTATTATCAATGGTTGCTCTCACCACGCGGAAACGAATTTTCCGGTTGTTAGAGCGGTGGGGACGGGAGATGGTCTTGATTAGGCTCAATCTGCTGCGGCAGTCATTTGATGCATCTTCCCTTTATGATCCTTTCTTCGATTATTTTTTATATTGTATTGCAAAATCTTTCATGGAGCTTACATAGCATTGTACCCGAGGGGTGTGACACATCTGAATCTCGATTTTAAACTGTCGAAAAATCTCACACCAGCGAATCAATCTACGAAAAATCTTTTTTCATCTCTTGCATTTAAATCCATCTACTCGCATCGCTCTCCACCTTTTTGCAGGAAATCTTTAAAATCATAATCAATCTTATTTCTATCTATTAAGCGCGAGTGCATCTCATAACAGCAAAGCAAAAAAATTCCTGCATCTTATATAGAGTCGCCCCCCTCGATTGTACCCAAGTAACCAACAAGCCCGCTAATTCGCAATATAAGGCTAATATGCGACTTATATGTTAGCCGTGTATCAGCCTTATATTGCAAAAAGGCGAATTAGTGGTTGTTGGTTACTTGGGTAATGTTTGTTTTCTTTGCGCGATAGGCATCGTTGCCAGATACAGTATTGAAGGGACCATCGAGATATGAAGAGATCGAGAAATAGAACATTAATTGCTTACTAGACCGTTTGAAAGGACCGGGATAATCAAGACATATTGAAAAAGTGGTCACATAAATATCGATGTATAGAACATCGAGATGTGGACAGTTGACTGTACAGAGAAATTCCAGGCAAATTCCCAAATCCATAAGAGTTTCGTATTTTTTTATTTGGCTGAAAATTTTCAGAAACTTTCCTCATTACCAAAAATGCCATTTTGCATCTTCAGATCACTATTTTAAATCGAGCCTTAATTTTGAAAAGGGCGTATAGATAAATGCTAAGCTTATCTTCAGAAAACTGTTGCTCGAAAAATGTTTGTCCAATCGGTTTGGTACCTTCGGCAACGTCGTAGGGAACATCTGCAACAACTGTTTGAAT